AGATCTGATAACACAAGTTCTCTTGCTCAAGACATGGAGGTATCTTAGGTCCATCTTTATTGATGATAACCATTGCCTTTCTGAGCACCTTGTGGTCATCTAATCAATGATCTCTTCTCATATCATCCATGATTTCCTAAACTAATCTTTGTCAAGCCAATAATGAGTTTCTTCTCTCCATTAGGGTATATGAGCTGTTGTTCTCTGTTCATTCTGAGCATGTCTCTTCAGCTATATGACACAGATTTTAATTAATCGATCTTGGCACCAATCTACATTCTCCATTTGTTTTCTTAGCATGAGGAAATGGAGGGCATGGGATGAACAGAGCCAAACATTTCATTCAGCTTAAGATTCTAATATAGTTTTTCCAAATATGAATCTGGATATGCATAGAAAGGGTTGACCAGTGTCAACCAGAATAAATGTATGCTCTTTTGAATGTTTCATTCAAGTCCACTAATAGATCATCAACCCATAGCCAAGCTGAAGTTTAAGCTCCCAGAAACAGGTTTCCTGATTGAGATAGACAGACATGGCTCTCTAAATCCAACTACAGGAGTTTTACATGATATCAATCAATATTTATATAGTTTTCTACTCCCTATTTCAATCAGATATGTGCTGTGGAAAATTCTCTCTCAAGAACCAGATCAACAAGTTGAAACAACAGTGCAATTCATACATGCTAAGCCACTTCTGATGATGATGATGATGATGATGATGATGATGATGATGATAACTTGCATCAAATCAAACCAAGTCAAGAGAAGCTCTTCCCAATGTATTCAGAGTGCAATCAATTTCATATATCATTTCTCCCTCATCAACCAACCAATTGACTTTGTGCTACAGAGACTGGTGCCACTTTTTGCCACTGCTACACTGTAAGATGCATACTCCACTGTAATAACATCATCATTTTGGAGGTAGGGCTTCACATAAACAGTGATGAACTATGTTGGTTTGGATATGCATTAGACTCTATCTATCTTAGCAACCCATTTCATATTTTGATAAGATTGCAAGTAGGAAAAAGTGAACATCTCTCTCTTCATCACTCTTCACAACACATGGCCTTGGCTTATTTCTTTTTTGTTGGTACCCTTTCCATTTGCAACCATATCACATTGCTTGTCTAGTTGTTTTAAAGCATAGGCTCATTGTTGTCACAAAGTCACCATACTACTCTACTATGTTCAGCCTTCTCCAAATCTCCATCACAAGAATTCATTTACTCCTAAAGCTCTCAAACCTTTTAGGGCAAAGCATCAGATGCAGTCTATGCATGGTTGTGAATTACTTCACTTGAGAAAGAGTTTAGATAGCCAATGAGCCTTTACAAGTTTCAAGATTCCCATTGCTTTGCTGTTTTTAGATGAAGAAGGTTAAGCATTTGACATTTCATACTGCTTCATTTGCTATCTTTTCTAATGATCAGCACCTTTCTTTTTGTCTTGAATTGGTTGATGATGACAAATACCAGATGATAAATTATTTATATGAGAAATATTTCACACAAATCATAGATCCTTAAATACCTAAATCTCGTTAATATCCTGAGTCATCATCTACATCTTCTCCAACCATAATAGTTGGCCATGGCAAAGGGGACTTTTTGTCTATATGAGATATTTATTTTTCTCACCTCTGACCTATCTTGAGTCGACCTCGTTAGGCCATACCCTCCACTGATCTCAAGAAGTTGAGATCGGTCACATCAGAAAAAGCTCATAATAATCTATCTCGGGCAGATTTCCCATGAGCTCAGTGAACAATGACAATGTGTTTTGCTTGAAAAGTGAATCAGGTTAGATGAGACTCAACATTGATCTAAATGGACTTCATCAATTACAATATAAATTGTCATCTAATTCTCATATCCAGATATTGGTTAGAAAGAAGCATGGATCAATGCAAAGAGGACATCGGAGAGAGTTCATGAGAGAATGAACACCTTCTGATGAGTGATGGAGATTTATGTCTAGTGTCATTCAGAGAACAACATGAAAAACCACAGGAATCATGAAACACTTTCCATCACAAAGGCACAAAGGCACAAAATCTCAAATCTCCCTCCCTCTTAAATAAAGAAACGAGTATAAACTATTAGTTTAAGATAAAGTATTTTGGGTGGATAGTTTTTGGTTGTTCAAGTTGAAAGCTTATTCGGAGCTAATCTAATTTCTTTTTCGAGTCGATTTTAAGAAAAACTCTTTTAAGAGACATCGGAATTTTCCAAAACTATATTGAGGTACTCCCGATAATATCTCTCAAATACCTAAGTTAGTTGACAAATCAGATAATTCAAATTTGTGTTAAATGTCCTAAGATATACCTTCGAGTCCTTATTTATAGTGGATGTTCAGAGCTAATTAACGTCTGCTAGCTAACGTCAAGCCATCTGCATGATGCTTTGGTGGCATTGAGGGATGGAACATGCAGTCATATTGTGTCGATCACATACCTCCATCGTGTCGATTGTGGGGGTTTGTGTGTCGATCAAGTGACTGCGTTATGCTGGCCAAGCAACTTCGTCGTGTCAATCACATGACTCTACCGTATTGATTGTGGGAGTGAACGTAAGGTGACTTCATTATATTAATCACATGGTTTCACCGTATAGTCACGAGAGTCGACGTATTTGCAAGTGCAAGTGCAGTAATATGTTATTAGTTTATGTGACATAAAATTAGAAGGGACACTAATATGTCATTAGTTGATTTAAATATTTTATATTAATAGTTTAAATTTATTAAATTAATAGATTAATTATATGTGATACAAATATTTAATATATTATATAATATATATTTATATCACATTGGTGTAAAACTCTGGGATTTTGGACTGCATCATATTCAAAGAGCCAGAGAGAGAGAGAGAGAGAGAGAGAGAGATCAGTCTTCTCTGCTTTCTTGGAGGGCGACACGAAGCACCCTATCGAAGTCCATATTTTTGGAGCGTTCGATCAAACCAAGCGAAAGATCTGTGGCCACGAACTGCTCCCAGCTCCCGAAGGCCACTGCGTGGTGCCAATCTCGGTCCCGTGGTGCTTGGTCGTGGAGATCTCGGGTGCATGGTGTTCCAGGTGGAACCCCCGCGGCTCGGGAGCTCGGGCTAGCCTTTGCGGAGCTCTTTGTTCAGGTTCGTGGTCGACGCCGAGGTAGGGTTTGGAGGTCGTGGTTCTCCCCGGAAAGGCGGCTACTTTCGGTGGTTGGTTTGGAGGGAGCTGCGAAGGGGAGATCCGGCGGTTCTTCCTGCTGCCGTTTGGTTTTTTTTTATTATCACAATGCGTGGGATGGTTGGAGTTGTCGTGATTTCAGCTGTTATTTGAGGTCATTGAAGCTTGGGATTGAGTGAGGTAAAAAGACTTCATCTTTTTATGGGGTTTCAGCTCGGTAGGTTTGGTTGAGGTAGATGGTGTGTTGGTTCTTTCTTTCTTTCTCCCCTTTGAAGTTAGCTTTTTGGGTTTAAGTTTGAGCATCAGGCGAAGGAATATGTAGTGGTTGAGGTGAAGGGTTACAGTCGGTGTCTTCGTGACAAATTGAATAAGCTTGGGAAACTGGAATCTCTCGGATCTGCGATTCTGGTGCTAAGTCCAATATTTTCTTTTGATGTCAAAATTTGCTATCTGTAAACCTAGCAAATGCAGATCGAAGCTTAGTAATTGAAAGTGGCCGTTTCTTGCATAGGTATTCCATATGGATTAGGCCAAGCCAATTAGTCTTTTTATATGTCTGATAAGTAGCTTTCATAGATTGAAGTCTACAAGGTTTACGAGCAGAGGAGTAAAACGTTGGAGCAGGCTTCCTTGTGGAAACAGGCAAGGTAAAACTAAGATCCGAGTTTTGTTGCATGAAGTGCCTGTGCTCAAAGATTTCAGTTTGCTGACAAAAAGGAGCAACTTTGATTGTAAGTAAATAGTGGAGCATGCAATCTAGTGGAAAAAGGCAAGGTACAACCATATCCTTGGGTCAAAAAGGTTCGAGCTTTTCTTGCCTGAAGTGCCTGTGCTTAAGGTTTTCAATTGTTTGCTGACAGAAAGGAGCAGCCTTGATAGTAAGAGTGTGTGCTTCCTCCTGCAATAAGCTTCGTCTCAACTACCAAAGATGAGGCTCACATCTTCAAATATCCCCAATCAGTCAGAAGAAGGTAGCTCTTTACCTACTTCTTTCATGTTTAGCATGAAAATTGTGTTACCAGATTACTAGTTCTATCGTTCTATCTTATTCTTGCAGCTCATATATATATATATATATATATATATATATATATATATATATATATATATATATATTGTATGTATGGATAAGATGTTCTAAAAGAATCGTGCATCTCTTTTTTGAATAAGCACCTGGGATGTCATTATTGTTGTTGTTAATTATTATTGTTGTTATTTCTAGTTATCGTTCATACTATTATTGCTTTATCTATATTCTCATCATCTGCTCCTGTGTTGATTCTGATTCTTGGATGTTTTTTATGTGCCCTATTATCCAGAAGAAACACGGTGTTTGAACTCTGAGTTATGGCACACATGTGCGGGACCTCTAGTTTCATTACCAGCTGTTGGAAGTCGGGTGGTATATTTCCCACAGGGTCACAGCGAGCAGGTCAGTTGTTTTAGTCTACTCTAAATCAGTTTTTACACATTCAAGCAATACAAGGATCTCCAACAATGCTGACATCACCTTCTTGTATTTTTTGGTGGTTTATCTTTCTTAAGTTATGGTGCCCTAGCAACCAGTTATACATTCTGTGAGGCATTTCTTTAACAATTTCCGATTTGTCCTCAGGTAGCTGCATCAACCAACAAAGAAATTAACTCTCAAATCCCCAATTACCCAAGCTTACCTCCCCAGCTGATCTGTCAGCTGCATAATGTTACTATGCATGTAAGTTTACCTTTGATGATTGTGTACCTTCCTATTTTACTGTCAACTATATAAATGCATTAGATAAACTGAAAAAATGAACAGATGCACATCTTCTACAGGCAGATGTGGAGACTGATGAAGTTTATGCTCAGATGACATTGCAACCACTGAGCCCAGTAATGAACTATATCATTGTGCTTTTGCTTTGCTTGATCACAATTGCAATATCTTTCATTTTTGTTCTTCTATTTGATCTAATATGCAGCAAGAGCAAAAAGATCCCTATCTCCCTAATGATTTGGGTACCTCCAACAAACAACCAACAAATTTCTTCTGTAAGACGTTGACTGCAAGTGACACCAGTACTCATGGTGGATTCTCTGTTCCCCGTCGAGCAGCAGAAAAAGTTTTTCCTCCTTTGGTAGGTACTTTTTTTATTATGTTGACTGGGTTTATCATGGAGTTCTATAAATGTCTGACAATATCCTGCTCTTACCTGTGGATTTTTGAAGGACTATTCACAGCAGCCTCCTGTTCAGGAGTTAGTTGCAAGAGACCTTCATGACAATGAATGGAAGTTTCGTCACGTTTTTCGTGGTGTGTACATGTTCTATTATCTTTTGCTAGTATTATGTGTAATGTGTGTTTCGTAATATGATATTTTTGTTAAAATCTTGTTGATTAACCAAATGGAAGTTGCTGGTACTTTTCTTACCTTATCTAATTTGAAGATGAAATTTTTTATCTTTTATTTACATGAGAGCCTGGGCCTGGGAATTTCTTTAATTTTTCATTGCTTGATCTGTCATGGAATTCTTTCTTCTTGTGTGCTTATAGTTTAAACCAATAGCTTCCCATATAATCTTACATATTTGTTATAATGTTCTTTATCATGTGTTGACTCTGCTTGATTACTGAGGATGTCCCAACCAAATGCCATTGCTAAGCTGCCTATGTCAGTGATTGCTAGTTTCTGAACATAATGTTCTAATTAAAAGTTTCTGTTCATAATGCAGGTCAGCCGAAGAGGCATCTTCTGACTACAGGATGGAGTACTTTTGTGAGTGCAAAGAGACTTGTTGCAGGGGATTCTGTTCTTTTTATCTGGTATCATAATCAAACTTTTGAGCATTTTTTGTTCAGTATTATCATTAAACTTGTTTTATTTGAAATTTTTGTGCATTTCTGTTTAATTGTTACCAACAAAAATTTTACTTCCTTAGGAATGAAAACAATCAGTTGCTTTTGGGTATTCGGCATGCCAATCGACCTCAAACATTTATGCCTTCATCTGTACTGTCTAGTGATAGCATGCACATTGGCCTTCTTGCTGCAGCTGCTCATGCTGCAGCTACAAATAGCCGATTCACCATTTTCTATAACCCAAGGTAAATGTGGGGCATTCTGCAAAGTGTCTATTTTTCTAACGTTTTCCACATAGAATTTTCCAATAATATATTTTTTCAGGGCAAGTCCTTCTGAATTTGTGATTCCACTAGCTAAGTATGTCAAGGCAGTCTATCACACCCGGGTTTCTGTGGGTATGCGTTTCCGGATGCTGTTTGAAACTGAAGAGTCAAGTGTTCGACGGTAAGCACCTTTCTTTCCCCTATTCTTAGTCATTTTGATTCTTTGGTATTATATACTGTCAAGTTTGTTCCTGTTGTCTAATTTTTCGTTTTTATGGTCACTGCTTAAATAATGTGTTTTACTTTGTACAACCTCTTTTGACATTCTATAAAATCATGTTATGACATTTGTACTCTAAATTTTCAGATACATGGGCACAATTACAGGGATTAGCGATCTTGACCCTGCCCGATGGCCAAACTCACACTGGCGTGCCCTAAAGGTAAAGATAATGCAAATAACCATCTTTCTAATTTCAGTAGGGACTGCTTCCTTGAAAGAATTGTACTTTTAAAAATCTACGAGACAGTCTTATCAGTTCTGCCAAATTGATTTATAGGAATACAACTATTTTCAATTGGTCATCATTATTTTGGTATTACTGGCGCAGGTTGGCTGGGATGAGTCAACAGCTGGAGAGAAGCAGCCTAGGGTATCACTTTGGGAGATTGAACCTCTAACAACCTTTCCAATGTATCCATCTTCCTTTCCTGTTCGTCTTAAGCGCCCATGGCCCACTGGATTGCCCTTCTTTCATGGTACTTGTTAAGGAAACTTGAGCAATCAGAACATTAGTCACCAGCAAGCATTTAGCCCTTGGAAAGCCTGATGATCTTCCATGGTAATATGCTTAAAACATGTTCTGACTATACTATCATTCATCTTGTTGTGCTTTCCAATTTATGTAGGTGGAAATGATGATATCGATCTCAATTTACCTCTGATGCGGCTTAGAGATGGTGGAAACCCAGCAATTCAGTCATTAAATTTCCAGGGTGTTGGTGTTACACCTTGGATGCAGCCAAGACTTGATGCTTTAATGCTTGGTCTACAACCTGACATGTGCCAGGCAATGACTACAGGAGCGCTTCGGGAAATGAGGACCATAGATCCTACAAAGCAGGTCTCTCCTGCAATGCTTCAATTCCAGCAACCACAGAACTCAGCTAATATATCCACTCCCACACTACCAAGTCCAATTCTACAGCATGTGCAAACCTTCCTTCAAGCCACACAAGATAATCAGGTCCAAAGCCAGAATCAGTCTCAATTTCTTCATCATCATTTGCAACAGGGCCATTCCTTTGCTCAACAAGGGCAACAGCAAGTTCCACAGCAGCAGCAGCAGAATCTGCATCTGCTGACACCACATTGTCAACAAATTCAGCAGCAGAAGATATTGTGTGGTTATCAAGAAGTACCTTATGTTGCTTCAAATCTTTTACAGCTTAGCTCTAGTTCTCAATCCCAATCAACCACATTGCACATGATTTCCCCATCTTGCCAGCTGAAGGACTTCCCAGATTCTAATGGTAACTCTGTTTCAGCATCCAATGCCTCTCCTCTGCATGGTATTTTCCAGCAAAATTCTTCTGAAGAAACATCACAACTTAGTTTGCCAAAATATGGTCAACCAGTTACTTCCAGTCCCTGGTCATCCAAGCGAGCTGCAGTTGAGTCAGGGCTCCCTTTGGGGGCTCAAAGCGTGCTCTCGCATGTAGAACAATTGGGTGCAACACAACCTAATATTTCCCTGCATTCTGTTATGTTACCACCATTTCCTGGAAAAGAATGCTCAGCAAGTCGAGATGGTAACATGGATATGCAAAACCAGCACTTGTTTGGTGTCAATGTCGACTTATCAATTCTAGCGCAGAATGGCATTCCAAGCCTCAACACTGGTGTCAGTGAGATTTGTTCGACAAATTTGTCGTATGCCACATGCAATTTACTGAGCTCCTCTGGAAATGATTTCCCTATCAATCGAGCATTGAGTGGTTGCAATGGTTTGGATGAATCAAGATTTTTGAGGTCCCATGAGAATGTTGATCAAGCAAATCCGCAGAGTGGATTGTTTGTTAAGGTGGATATTTACTTATTTATTTTAGCTTAACTTGCAGTTCTCTTATTGGGATTTCATTTCAGAAAGAGCAAAACGTTGGAAGTGTTGTCTTGAGTATAGGTTTCTTCACGAATGCAAGCTTTGCATGTTGTTGTAGTTAATACTCATTGTGCTGTCAAATGATCACAGGTATATAAATCAGGTTCATTTGGGAGGACACTGGACATCACCAAGTTTAGCAGCTACCATGATTTACGCAGTGAGCTTGGGTGTCTTTTTGGCCTGGAAGGCCAATTGGAGGACCCTTTGAGATCAGGCTGGCAGCTTGTTTTTGTCGACTGGGAGAATGATGTCCTTCTTGTTGGCGATGATCCTTGGCAGTAAGTTCTTCTCTTAATGTCATGAATGTATGATACTCTCTCAAGTAGCTTTTTGAAAATTGCATTCGTTAGCAATGGCTGTAGTAGACTTTTCTCATCTGATATTTCTTGGCCAACCACTGATGGTTTAATCTGCTTAGCCTTTGCAATGGGACACTGCTTTGCCTCTATAATATATTCCTACTATTTTCATTAGCTACATTTCTTTCCATCTTCTTTGACGAATTTGTTTTGGCAATTCATTTATGCTTAATCAGCATTTCTTTTCATTGTTTATTCTAGGGAGTTTGTAAACAGTGTGTCATACATAAAGATACTTTCGCCCGAAGAAGTGCAGCAGATGGGCAAACAGGGAATAGATTTTGTGAATTCAGCCCCCGTCAAGAGGCTTCAAAGAAATGGATGTGATGATCATGTTAGTCAGCAGGATTCAACAAATCTTAGCGCCAGGATCACATCCGTGGGGTCATTCAAATACTGAAGAGGCAACCTTCTCTGTTCCCAGCCCTACATTTTGCTGCACTTGAGAGTTGGAATTAAGCACCAAGTATGACTACCTGATCTGGTCTATATGGCTAATAACTGTATCATATTGTATGTTCTCATAACCTTGATGCATTTGCCAACACTTTTCTTCAGAAGACTGGTTATTATTAATGTAGGCTGTTTCATTCTTCTACTTACTGATATATCAGAGTGTGTGACAAAAGCAGTACCTCCTTTTTGAGTCCAGATAACTACATTTGCATTAATTTCCATTTTCCCCTCTTCTATATGTCTGACCTCTTTCTTATCCAGAGTTCAAAACCAGGTTCAAGTTTGAGATAGATCATTTCATATCTGGAAGGCTACATCCACAAAAGTTTAGAGAGAGAGAGAGAGACCCCATGTAAGTTGGTTCTTGTCCAACCAGGAACTGCATTCATTGTAGCAGGGAAGATGGCCACTTCTTCAGGTCACTGGTAAAGCCTACCCTCTCTCTCTCTCTCTCTCTCTCTCTTGATTGCAAACAGGCTGCCCTGCTGCTTTTGCTGATGGATGTTAGGTTCGTTGAGGTGACACATTGCCACTGGACCTAAAAGCGGGGAGCATGTGGCCTCCATGAACTCCCACTTACAAAAAGACATGGACAGCTCTTCCCCTTGTCACCTTCTTCCTTGCATCATCATTCTCCCATCCCTTTCCGATCTGTGTTGGTCCCAGTGGCCATGGCCTCAGATCGACTGCTTTTCCAGCTTCATGTTATGTGACAGTAATAATCCCTTGGTCAAATTGTTCATCCAACAGACATCAGTAGCAGCAGCATTTCACCTTTCCAAAGCTATTGCTCCTGTTTGAAACTGTTCTCTTCTCTCAATCCCTTCTGAAGAAATCTCCTGCAGGCTTTGTGGGTGGCATGGAGTCATAGATAGTCATTTTTGGTTTCTTAAGTTAGTATGTGATGATGATAATGACATAAAAGATGGTGAGCTTGAGATCAAGATTGTTTAATGGTGATGGTTCTTGGATTTTTTTTACTTAATTAAAATCAAAGATAAAAGAAAAAAATACAGTTGGAATAATAAAGAAATGATGATGATGATGATGGTTCATTGTATTAGAAAGGAGAGAAGAGTAGATTTAAACAAGAAAACTGTGCAGCAACTAAGAATAAACCATATATATATACATATATATATATATATATGTATATAATACTTTTAATTATCTTTAGCATATCGATTTTTATATTTTTAAAAATTACATTGAATTCTCTATACATACGAGTAACTTCGTTATTTCAAATTATTTTTTTTTATGTTGTATAAAGATCTTAATGTTTCACTTTTATGAATATAGAAATTTTAATGTAACTTTTGAAAGTGTAGAGATCAAGATAACGAAGAAGACTATTATAATTAGCCTTGTAGCTAAATATAGGTAAACTTCAAAAGTTTCAAATCATGATAGAACCATTGGTTTTATCTTCGGAATAAGATGGATTTGTCTTGTGTGTGTCATAAGATCAATTTGTTTATCACAAATCAGACATGGATGCATCTTTTGCTGACAGGGAGAAGGGTTTTAAACAAGAAAACTGTAGAGATGATAGATATCAAAACATCAATCCACATGAAGAACTCTAATTCACAGAACACTCATCTGATTCATCCCTGTGATAGGATGGATTTGTCTCATCTATTATATGAGCAAAATAATCACACATTAGACAAGACATGTATACATCTTTTTCTAATAGAGAGAAGTCCCAAAGAACAAAACTGTGCAGCAATGTTGAGAAGCCAATAATAAACCCTCCCCACAAACACTGCAAATGTTTCTTTTACTCTTCATTGTGATGATCTATTTTTGAAGTTGACATCAATGCAGGAATTGACTTCGTTCAAATGGATACCAATAATATAATGTGTTCAAATATATTTTATATATATATATATATATATATTTGTGGCAGAGCTGTAATTATCCCCAACTGCTCCCATTTCGTGGGGGATGGCAAAAAGTCAAACGCGCGTAATCCATTCCTCCCGACGATGGCAAAACCGTAATTATCTGCAGCTTGGTCGTCGAAGACTGAGAGAGTCAACCATCTTGTCCCTGATCATTGGTCAGCACACGACGATCTTTCCTGCCTTCTCGTGAGAGTGATTAATATGTTATACTCTTGATCGTATACATATATCAATCCTTCTTGCTGCTGGATTTCATCTTCTTATAGCAAACTGGATATCAGTTCTTGCAGATGATTCTTGGAGACCATCTTTTTCTTGGGCTATTTAGGTTGGGAACCGCTAGGGTCTGGATAAAGTTGGGATCTTGATTGGATTACCGGTTCGTTTGTGGTGGATCGATTGGGGTTTCTTCGTCGCCCTCCTTCTTTCTCCCTGTTCCGTTTGAGGCATTCCTAAATGTGTAACTTCGTGTGGTTTCTCGAGTTTGTTTTCTTTATTCTTCAATTGGCTTTCGATGTCTAGGGCTGTTTGTCCAGTTTGGGCTGGTTTAGGTTTCTTCTTCGCCATGGCGATCTGCTGAGCGTGCTTGCTATTGATCGAGGAAGTGATCTAGACTATCACCCTGGAGCGTCTTGTTTCTTGGATTGAGATGGCCATGGAGCAGAGAGTCCATGAGATTTTAGAGGCGATTAGGGTTTAAGTTCCGACTGTTTAAGGGATTGTTTGAGATGGACTGCTTGCAGCTGGGTTGGAAAGCTGATGGATTTCGTCAGCAAAGGTAGGTATGTTTTCTCTGCTTCTTGTTGATTAGTCTCTCACTTTTTATTTTGATGAACAAAATGTCACAAAGAATCTTTGATTGGTGATTAAACTCTGCTATTTCTGTGAGGGGATTTTTATTGAATTTGATGTCATTATCTCTGATGTTTAAAGTGATAACTCTGGTGACAAAAAAAAGAATCATATCTTTTGTATGTTTGTGTCTGTTTGGTGGTTAGGTTATTGTGTTTGTTCTATCTAAAAATTGCTATGCTTCAGCATTGAGTTTGAGATATAGTGGATTTTCCAATGCAAATGATAGTAATATCTGATATTCTTCGAGCCAAATGACGGTAACATTTGATGTTCTTTGAGCAAAATGATAGTAATATTTGATATTCCTCAAATATGAACTTTGTACTGGCTATGAAGTTGGGCATGTAATTTCGAGGAGAAGTTGTTTGTGATGTAGGATTCGGTTTAACTAATAATGAAGTCAAATTTATAGTATAGATCAACTTGTTTATTAGAACGAACAATCTCTTCATTAAGTTACATAAAAGGCATTGATGGTGATGTAATTGTAGTGAAATGTTCATTCCTGAGCCAAATTCTTGATTGGAAATAATATCTTGTGATCCTCTTGCCTGACAAATTTTTTTTCCAAAGTGATGGTATCGATACAGCAGTTTTATATTGAGTAATAGAGACAAAAAAAAAAAAGTATTGGTTGTTTCTTATTATGCTTGCTGGTCATGATAAAGTTGACAAGATTTTCTTATTTGTTGAGATTGCAACTTATGTTCTGGAGGAAGATGTAATCAAATTCTCTATGAGAATTTAACGACTTGAAACTTTTTCCCTAAAACTATAATTCTCACTTACCAACTCAAATTTGTTTTCTGAAGGTAATCTCCTTCACGTGATTTAATTCTACAGAGTTTAGGCACTGTTAAGCTTACCGATTCAGGCGAATAGTATCCACAAAGCTGTGTTCATCTATCTTTGTTTTGATTTTAACATTTGTGTGTATTATCATTAGTCCATGAGTGCATGCTTACTTCAGAATTAAATTTACACCACTGTTTTCGAGTAAAGAATATACTGCTCACTTAAGTCAATTCTTTGTTAACAAAGTTCAGTAATCGTTAGAAATATGATTATGTTTCTGTTTTAGGTTATGCACAAGTGATGTGACTGTTGAAGTTGGGGAGAGAATCTTTCTTCTTCACAAGATAATAATTCTTCATCATTCATCCTTATTAGGCTGTTAATCTCAGGTAATAATATCATATATTCTGTTCAAATTCAAAATGAAAACATAATGACATCTTTTTGTTGAATCATTAATATTGATATTTGAGAACAAGGAAATTAAACAATAATTATTCTGGCTTTTTCTACCGGTTTTTTCAAAGTTAAAACTAAATACTAGATGAATCTTATAGGATGCAAATTGCAGTTTGATTGTTGCAGTTCCTCAATTCCACTGCCAGGCTTATAATCATCACTAGTCATACAATTGCAAATTTAGTATTTGACGAACTCATGTTCCTAATCTCAACAACCGCAACAACAACGGAAACAAACATCGTGCCATCGTCGAAGGTGAGTGTCAAAATTTATTTCCTTCAACACTGTCTTTTATACACAACATTGAAATGTTTCATTCTTGTTTATCCAAAGGTAAACGGGCACATCCATGGCTGCTTACAGAAGAGTGCCAGAGGGAAGAGCTATTCCAGCCGATGAACTGCTAACCAGTGAGAACAGTGGCTGAAGGTGAGCTTTGATGATGGTGTCTGAAATCCAAAAAGAGTGCTCAAGCATGAACAAGAACTCGACACTGCTAAATGGTTCGATAAGGGCTAATTAAAGCTTACAATTCACAAGAAACAATTGTCGACAGGCATGTAAAGACTCTGCAAGGATCTTATAGTTTCATGAGCATTCTTTTTTCTGATACAAGGCAGCAGAACTCTCAACCTTGTTCAGAAAGGGAGATGAAAGCCAATATGAACCCATCCTTCATGGTCTGTGTCCTATAGGCTATATGAGTGTGATGAAAACTTGGTTTCAATACTGATGCATGTATCAGTCAAGAGTCAGTAATGACAAGATATATGATAGATGCATGGATGAATGAGTTCTATTTGATCCTCCATTTGTGAGATCTGACCATGGACTGGTGTTTGATGTGGTAAAATGCTTTCTTTGTACAAAACCTTAGAGAGGAAAAGGAACAGTTTTTTTTTTTCCCCTCAACCTTCTAATAATATAATTTCATTATAGTAAGAGATTTGATGCACCATTAATCTTATCTAGTTCATTTGCATCATTCTTTTTGAAAGGATATTTACTTTATTAGCTGCACTAAAAATCAAATCAATCAGGAATCTCTGAATGCGAATTGTGATAAGTAAGCTGAAGGAGAGTATTTTTTTATTATTTTTAAAAATATTCTTCTCATCATTTTATAAATAATAATCTTATGGGTTTTGATGATATAATTTTTTTTTATGTATAATGTGCAAACTTTCAAAAAATGGGTGGATTTGATTTGGTGATTGTCGATTGATGATTAATTTTAATATTGATACATGTAAATCTTTATATTTGGATAGTTATTTATATATATATTTTTTATTTTTTTAGCCAAATGTCACTGTAAAAAATTAATATTCGACCTTTTCTTTGAAGGAAATGAAGAAATAAGGATTCAAACGGTTATCAGACAATTTCCGAAGGGGGTTTGCTATATTTAGATCGAGAAACTGCCTTTGCTTGCTGCGTCTTCTTCCCCCGAGACTTGCTCTCGCCCTCTCTCTCGCTCTCTTTCTCTCTCTTTCTTTCTTTTCAGCACCATATACTCTCTCTCTTCCTCTCTGTTCCTCGATCATGTCGTCGGTAAGTGCATCTCTCTTTCTGGCGCATTATTATGGGACTTTTTGGCCAAATTTTTGTGTTTGTGTGTCTCGTTGCGTTCGGTTAAATCGAGTGATTTCTTCTTTTCCCATCGTGATCTGATGCTGTTTTGGTGGAACCGTAGGCTGCCACTGTTTTGAAATTGGTGAAATTGTGTGTCTATATTTTCCCCCTGTAGGAAATATTAGGGCAAATTATCATACCTGAAGATTAAAAATGGTGCGAGATTTATTATTTCTTGGAATTGAATCGAAGATGTCGTCCGTAAAGTTCGAACGGCTTAAAATTCAGGATTCCTTGGATTTGAGCAGGCTATCATCTTGATTTGGACCACAGAATGTTGCAGAAGAGAATAGTGTTGTGATGCATTTATTCCTTCTTGTAAAAATTTGATGTTTTCATGAATGTGTTAAAGCTGGTAATGTTAGTTTGACTCATGTGGATATCGATTTGAGCTTCTAATTGCCCTTATGAGATTCCACCCATGCAATTTCTTTTCGGAATATCTGCATTTTTGACTCATTGTTTGCATGTATTCCTTCTATTTGATTGCGACATAGTGGTCATTAGCTTCTCATATCACCACAATACATGCAGGATGCTGAGATGGATGTCCAGTCTCATAAAAAATGCTCTGTTAAGGATGATGGTAATCAAGGTTAAAATTAGAAAACTATTAGCTAAGCTGATTTGAGTATTTTCGAATGCACCGTTACGATGGGTTAAATCAATTTCGTTTTCGGTCGCTGAATAACATTTCATGATATTTAGTGACATCATCTTCTAGGGAGCTTAGTGGTGGGAAGAAGGATTCTGATCTAAAATAGTTAAAAACAAGGACTAGTCATAGTTGTTGTTGCATGACATGTTTGCATAGGATACATAGTTTTTATAATTTCAGACTAAGAAGAATATTTGCATTGATTCAATTTGATGCCGATATAATTGCGTTCCGTTTTTTTTTTGGTCAAGTAGTTAATTGGCACATTGTGTAGTTGCAAAAGTTAGAAACCTTCTACATTTGTTTTCTCTTTCCATCTGTAATTTTTCTGTAGGTGCAACGGTTCTGCTGCTCAATCTACAATAAAGTTTCCGCAGCTTGTAGTTTTGAGCCTTACCAAGCTACCCATTTATGTGTTGACTTAACTTTCATGCCTTATTGTATATTGTTCATGCTTTCCTAGCACATATGCATTAATTTAATTGAGAATGGAAAGATTAGGAAGTAATGAAGTTACCTTGAGAAGCAAAGGTACCGTAGAGCACTTAAATAAGATGTAGGTGAAATCTCAGGGAATCATTTCTTCTATGCAAGCATTTTTATTGTCCCTGTGATGTGTGTTGTAAGAGAAGATACACAGTGGATCCTCTTTGGCTTCTAAATGTTGTCCCCAAATCTTTTCACCATGTTTCGAGCAACTTCCTGGGTTTATAAGACTTGTTTCTATAAGAGGATGATGATGCAGAGTGCCTGCTAATGTTTTCATTACTAACACCATACAAATGCTCGATAAAGCTGAACCTAATGCATTGATTGTGCGGTATTCTGCCATGCTAATTGAACGTGTCTGTTGCCAGAATAAGTCAGAAACAAGTGTTGGATCCTTCGGTCATCTTTGCTTGAATCTGTTTAATTGGCTTGTTAAAGAATTAATTAGCTATTGTATGATCTTCATGGTCGTGGTGGATGTTTGTAGTTACTAGAAAAGATAAAGAAATTGTAAATGATTAGATATAGCTCTGATTAGATATAAAATAGACAAATAGTATTAATGGTATGAGGAGAGTCAGACATAAAAAATCTTAATACAACTACAAATAAGAATTTCAATGCTCTTGATTTAACTAAGAATATTATCTTTTATATCCATATAGTGACATTACGGTTTGTTGTTGCTGTATGTTCTTCATAGCTACTGCTTGCCTTCTTTTGTGTTTTGCTGTTCCTATTTCATTCGGCCACGGTGTCAGTAGGTCTTACATGTGGTCTTCCTTTTGAATGCAGCAGGAGAAGGGTCGGCCACTGCCCAAGTTTGGGGAGTGGGATGTCAACAATCCTGCTTCGGCTGAAGGATTCACTGTCATATTCAACAAAGCTCGAGACGAGAAGAAGACAAGTAGTAGTAGCTCTGCTGCTCCAGCTTCACCAAGAAGAAATGATGTAGGTGGTCTGAAACCAGAAGTCACCTACCAATATCCAAGAAAAAGTGTAAGTTTCTACCCCAGTTTTCCTTTTAAGAGGATCTAATCTGTACTATTCGATCCTAAAAGTCTTGTTAGTTTCAAGCTTCCATATTCTTATTCATTCCAATTGTTATTAGCCAATGATATTATCCTTGAAGAACTTGTGTGCCCAATCAAAACTAATCTCACTAACTTCTTTGTAACCATGGACTCAGAGCAAGTGGTTTTGCTGTGTGTAAGTGCTGCTGCCAGAGCACCGAGGGACAAGTTGTCATCG